TCTATCAAGAATTCTTCTTTAATTCATGGGTTACTTAGAAGGTGTAGCTGGATCTCTAAAGATTTGACAATTTGCTAATTAATTTTCTGGGGGTTAATTCCTCTGCTGTCTGAGAGCTGCTTTCATAGGACATTTGAAAGAGTGTCCTAAGGTGAGTTTTATAACCCCAAAATGTGGACTAGCTTGTTGAATGTTTCACATGAGCTTGAGAAAAATGCATATCTTGATGTTGGTGCATGGGATGTTTTCTAAGTGTCAATCTGATCAAGTTGATTAATAGCACTATTCAGCCCAGCTCCATCCTATTGATTTTCTGCCTTGATTTGTCGATGCCTCCCAGGGAGCTGCTTCAGTTCACAAGTGTACTAGTGGGTTTGCCTATTTTGCTTTGTATTTCTATCAGGTCTTGGATGAATTCATTCACTTGGAGGATTCTTGCCTCTTTCTGCCCACCACAATTTTATTTGTTCTGTTTTCTATTAACACAGCTGCTCCAATGTTCTTTTGATTAGTGTTAGGGTGAAGCTAAAAGCAACTTTGTATTTAAAGCGGGTTACTTGGAAGAAAATGCTCAACTGTAGTTGCTGCCCTTGGATTTAGATCATACATTTTAAAACTCATCTAAGTTCACCTTAAGAAAAAAACAAACAAAAGAAAAGAAAAGAAAGGAAGAAAGGAAGGAAAGAAGGAAGAAAGAACCAGAAAGCTACTTTCCACAGGGTGCAGATACTGTATCACTGTGTTTTTTTTTTAAGATTTATTTATTTTTATTACAAAGTCAGATATACAGAGAGGAGGAGAGACAGAGAAGAAGATCTTCCATCTGATGATTTACTCCCTAAGTGACCGCGATGGCCAGTGCTACGCTGATCTAGAGCCAGGAGCCAGGAGCCAGGAACTTCCTCCAGGTCTCCCATGTGGATGCAGGGTCCCAAGGTTTTGGGCAGTCCTCAACTGCTTTCCCAGGCCACAAGCAGGGAGTTGGATGGGAAGTGGAGCTGCCGGGATTAGAACCAGTGCCCACATGGGATCCTGGTGCCTTCAAGGTGAGGACTTTAGCCACTAGATCACACCGCCAGGCCCATCACTGTGGTTTTAATTCCCCTCTCCCAGGCCTTGACACATTGCTTAATGCATATCATCTGACCATCACCAAATACAATGTTACTATGATTATTCTAATCAGGTACCTTTGAGGTTCTGTAGAAACTTGTGATTGGCTTCCAGAACCAACAAACTACTCCAAGACTCTCTGGGGAGCAGTTCGTTTGAACATACGCAGAGATCCTATCATACGAAGCTCTACACGGGACACAGCAGGGCCGTCAAGATGAGTGCAGATTCCACATCAGCAACCCAGACCCCACATCCCACAGACTCAGAGCCTCCTGCCCGGGGCGGCAGGTGGGGATCTGGGGGAGCAAGGGCCGACTGCTCATGGGCTCGCCTGAAGGGAAAAGACCTACAGCAAGAAAGCCTGCTCCTCGGCTGTATTCCATTAGGAAGGATAAAAATACTATAAAGGACATCATTAAGTTAGCAGACAAAAATAGAATAGGGACAATAAATCAGAGTGAAGAGCATTAAACTTGCTGAAGATGATATCCATGCCACAGTTATGTAAGAAGAGGTCCTATTCTTAGGCATATACACGGGGGAAGGGGTGAAGAGCATGAGCGATGGGACCCACTCCATCCCACCCCAATATGACTGGCTCAGAAAAAAATACACACATTTATAAAGAGACATGGAACGAATGAAAAGGCGAGCGCCCAAATGCTGGTGCTAGGCACACCTGGGGCAAGGGTATTTTGGGTGCTATTCTTGATGGCTTTTCTGGAAGTTTGAAATTACTTCCAAATAAAATGGGGGTCTAAAAGAATTCTTTATGCTAATTCTTGTGATAAATTGTAATTCTACATGCCTGGAAATGCAGGGATGTCCCCCCACCACCAATGCTTAGTAATCCAAAGCATAGTGTGATACTGTTGTTTGTATAGTCTGAGATTGCTAACCTGGGCAACCATCCTCACAGGGAGGGAAGGACACTGAGGCATCCTAGTGAGGGGACACGAGGCTGCCAGTTCCAGGGCCCCACGATCGTGACTGTTGCCCGGGGTCTCGCTCTCTCACCAGAGCACCACCATGGCCTGCCTCATGGGCACCACCTGACCGGGGAGGGCCTCTTCCACCCACATCCCCAAAGCAGTGTGGGGAGAATTCTTGCTGTCAGTAGTCCACGTGGGACTTCTGTTTTCCTGTTGAGCAGCAAAGCTCACATCAACATGTGCCAGAAAGACAACCAAGCCCCAAAATAAGCCACATGCCTACAGAGGCCCAACCAGCTTCTCCCATGGCTTGCTGCTTCTTCATTAAAAAAAAAAAAAAAGACACGTTTTTGTTGAAAGGCAGATTTTGCAGAGAGAAGTCACAAAGAAAGTTATTTCATCTACTGGTTCACTCCCCAAATGGCTGCAACGGCCACAATCCTAAACCAGGATCCAGGAACCTGGACCCTCCTCTGGGTCTCCTACGTGAACGTAAGGGTAGAAGGATTGAGCCATCCTCTGCTGCTTTCCCAAGCCATAAGCAGGGAGCTGGATTGGAAGTAGAACAGCCAGGGCTTGACAGCATCCATATGCAATGCCAGCACCGCAGGCAGTGGCTTCGCCCATAATGCCATAGCAACATCCTCACAAATGTTTGAAACTCAAAGCAAATGACAAACACCATTTAAGAAAGGATGCGAAGCTCAAAATAGGTAAGGAGGCAGGCTAACAGAGCTTCCCGAATGTAGTGGAAATTCAAAGGCTCTGAAACATACAGGGGTGAGTGGGGAAGAGTTAACACAGGTAACGCTGTGGGACAGTGTGAAGAGAGGAGAGGAAACAGAAAATCAAACACATCAAAAAGTCCAGCTTCAGCCTGAGGAATCCAGATAGCCTAGCAGGATGAACATTCTAGAACAGAAGATTAAACAGACATCTGTGAGCCTGCCACAAAGCACGGAAGCCAGAAAGAGCTCACAGCCAGCACACGTGCTGGGCTAATGGTTTCTGACACAATCACCAGATGAATCCCCAAATTCTCTGAAAACAGGGTAGCCCAATTCCTGCCAGAACAGGCAACGTGGACGGGAGTCACATGGGTTGTGAGTGGAGAACATAAACCATCCCTTGATTGGGAAGATTTCCAGGGGAGTGCCAGCTTGATCCTGGCCATTGTGGGGAGCGAGACCTGAAGATACAGAAGCCGTGTCTAGCTGAAGGGGATGCCTCTGGGAGGCAGGCCTGTGTGACATCTGACACAGATCGACAGCCTGTGACCACAGCCTGAGCCCAGCAGGGAGATGGTGGCAGTCTTCCCTGTATTCTCTATAAGGATAGTCAGATGGTGTGAGCCATCTGAATGGGCAGCTTGGTATGAGATAAGCAGCCGTGGCACCTGCAGCCCTTTCCTCCTCCGATGGCGTGCAGGCCCTTCGGCAAGGTGACGGCACTTCATGTCCTAACATCCTTGTCCCCTTGAAACACAACCTGGAATCAGGGTTGTGCTCGACGAGGGCTGTAATCCCTTTCCCACAGCCCGCTAACCAGCCCATTAGTTCTTGTCTCCACATGATCTTTGTTCCCCCTTGACAGGGTTGTGCAATAAACAGTAACTGGAGGTGATAAAATGTAGTGGCAATAAAACCTACAGCAAACCTGTTCAGGCCTAACCCTAGGGATGAGTTTAGGAAAGATGGATTCCAGCCACTTCAGAGGGAACCAGGGTTCACTCTGTAAAGCCCCACTTGGGAGAACTGAGGCAGGAGAGTTCCTGGGGACCCAGTGCCCACACAGCAGGGGTCTGAGCTGGCATCATGTCCTGATGTGGAGGGTGAAGCCATCGGGGGCCACACAGAGCCACCTGCACTGTCTCAGGCCCACAGCAGGCTCCAAATCCTTCCCTCACTCTGAAGCCCAAGTACTCAAACACATGCTGGAGATGTGTCTGGGTCTTTTTTTTTAAATTGCTCACATTTTCTAATACATTTTCCTGTTCAAGTAGACCATGGGCCAGACTAGTGGTACCTGGAAGGTCCTTATGAAGGTCGAAGGCAGACAGAATTTCTTGCTGCAAAGTGGCCAGAGAAGAATATCTCAGGTTAAATAAGAAATACTTTGAGAGGAAAATTCTATGTGAGCATGAATATTTTACATAGAAGATAGCTTAAAAGAATATCATGTCAAGAATAACTACTGGGCCCGGCATGATAGCGTAGTGGTTAAAGTCCTCACCTTGAACGCGCCAGGATCCCATGTGGGCGCCGGTTCTAATCTCGGCAGCCCCGCTTCCCATCCAACTCCCTGCCTGTGGCCTGGGAAAGCAGTAGAGGATGGCCTAAAGCCTTGGGACCCTGCACCCGCGTGGGAGACCCAGAAGAGCTCCTGGCTTCGGAATGAAACAGTTCCAGCCTTTGTGGTCACTTGGGGAGTGAACCATTGGATGGAAGATCTCCCTTTCTGTCTCTCCTCCTTTCTGTATATCCACCTTTCCAATAAAAATAAATAAATCTTAAGACAGAGAAAGAGAGAGAAAGAAAAGAATAACTACTGTGGATACAGCATTCATGGGGTCAAGCTTTGCTGAGAGACCCCATCCTCAGAATGTGGCTCTTCACAAGTGTGGATGGAGGTGGTGACTGGACCGAAAGCCTTCTGCCACAGAGGCCTCACTCCCACCTCCTGCAGGTGATCACGTGGGATGGAGTCAAAGGAGTGTGGCCATCCTAACACTGCGCTTCCTCCCCTTGCTGTCATGTCACCTCCCAGGACACTGTCACCAACTGCCTGTTCTCTTAAACAGACTCGCTCTGTGCAGCAGAGGCCTGGGTGCGTGGCTCAGGAAGGTGTCTTTGAGCACACACCTGTAGGGGGCCAGCCATGAGGCACTGCTCCCCTCAGCAGCATGAAGCAGGCAGCAGGATGTGTTTGATAATAAAGTGCTGCTTCTGAAAGTTAAGCTTTTATTATTTATTTTTAGAAAAGAGAGAAAAATGACAAGATGCAAAGGCCTCACAGGATATGTTATCACTGATGGTTGTTCTTACACTTGACACAGGCCCTGGTCATGAGCCAGTGTTGGAACAAACAGGGACAGCATGGAGGTGCTGAAGACCCGTCACAGGTACGCAGAACATTCTGCGGGGGACTTGATGACAAGTGACGGCCAGCCTGTTCCAAAAGTAAGCAAAGACAGGCAGGACCCAACTAGGCCTCCCTGTGGAGGAGGCACGGATGGGCATGGGCCTGCCATCACGTGCATACCTCTGCCTAGTGAGACACAGTCATAATGGAACATGGTAACAGGTCCTTTGGTGTCTTCAGGTACCAATTTCATATTTCTGTATTCTTGTTCATGTTTCAGGTTCAGATTCTCACCCCAGTTATAGGACTTAGCATCTTGAATTTTTCAGGAACCACTTCTCCCAATGACAGTGCACTAGAAGGAGTAAAGAAAAGATACATCATTAAGAAGTAATTACAAAATATATCTTCCTATCATATTAACACAGGCTTTAAGCATTAATGAAACAGCTCAAGCACTCCTTCAAGCCCATACAAGAATCCTAGAGTGCCAGTTCTCACCTAAAGATTTATTATTTTTTTTTATTAGAAAGACAGATTTACAGAGAGAAGGAGAGACAGAGAGAAAAATCTTCCACTCGCTGGTTCATTCCCCAAATGGCTACAATGGCCGGAGCTGAGCCGATCCAAAGCCAGGAGCCAGGCAGGAGCTTTTTCCAGGTCTCCCCTGTGGGTTTAGGGTCCCAAGGCTTTGGACTGTCCTCTACCATCCCACACACCTTCCTCTGAAATGTGAAAACGTCTACATGTTTGGAGAGTTCAATATCTCCACTCTCATGTGACATTAAACCTGCAGCTGGAGATCCCTCTCCCAACCAACAGCTGTTTCCCATACTGACCTTTGGGGAATGTCATGAATGTCATGAATTAGAGAGAGAGAGAGACAAAAGAAAGAGAACTTCTATTTGCTGGTTCCCTCCCCAAATAGCCTCACCGGTTGGGGTAGGGCTAGGTGGAGCCAGGAGCCTGCAACACAGAGGCAGGAGCCTGAGGACTTGGGCTGTCCTCTTCCGCTTTTCGAAACACATTAGCAAGAAGCTGGATTGGAAGTGGAGCAGCCAGGACATGAACAGACACTCACGTGGGATGCTGGCATGCCTGTTGAAGCCTTAACCTACTGTGTCACAATGCTAGCCCCCCAAAATTTCAGCTTTTTAAATTTAAAATGAGTGTAGGGATCCTGGTTAAATGAGTATTTCCTCTACATTTACTTCAATTAAATATTCTACATGTTAATTGCTTATTATAACAAAGCTATGCCTCAAATATTTTAACAGGAGATGAAAATTATAAAGTTTACAAATAAAAGAACAAATGACCTAGAAAAGCATTATAATATTAAATGACAAAAACAAGTAACACTACATGTAAAGTAGGTCTTATTTTATAAAAGTACAGCTAGTGTGACATGGTGGTCTGGGACACTGCATGTGGTGCTGGCATTCAATATGAGCACCTGTTCATGTCCTGGCTGCTTTACTTCCAGCCCAGCTCCTTGCTGTCGGCTGGGAGGACGGTGGGGGATGGCTCAGTCCTTGGATCTCTGCACCCTTCATGGGAAACTCTGAGGAGGCTCCTGACTTCAGATCAGCTCAGCTCTACCATGTGGCCATTTGGGAGTAAACCCCCAGACGGAAGATCTCTCTGTCTCTCATTTCCTCTGTAGCTCTCCCTTCAAAAGAAAAATAAAATGGATCTTAGAAAAAAAGAAAAAAAAAACTTTGTCAAATTAGAAATATATAGAATTACCTGCTTAGAAGAATTATTACTGAAGTACATGTCCTTGGTGGTTATGTTAGCATGATGAATGCCAGAAGTTCATCCTGGCAATTTCTGGAATTTTCTGTGTGAATTTTATAATGAGGATGGTTTTCAGAAGAAATTGTACGAGAGAAGGCCAGTGTAGGAAACCCAGTTCCCTATAGAGAAACAGCCCTGGAGTTCTGACGCAGGACTTGATCAAAGGATGGATTTCAGAACTAACTGTGCTAGCTCTGGGAACCCCACGAGGCCTAACAAGTGCTCCAATGTCAGGTCATGAGACATGAGCCCCGCCACCGCACGCCAGCAGCAGATCCAACTCCAGCCGCAACCCACCACCTAGCAAGGATACGCCAAGTGGTTAACAGACGCCATTCCCTAGTTCTAAACTCACTTGCTCATGTTCCTTCCTGGGGCCAGCACTGTGGCACAGTCGGTGAAGTCACCAAAGCGAACTTTAAATTTTACTTGCTTTTAGTTAATTGACATTTAAGTATTCACATGTACTTGATGGCAACTGTATTAAATGGCACATACACTCACATAAACTCGGCCTCTCTGGCTCCTTAGGAAACACTGTCAGCCAGCACACTTCTTCCTATTCTGACAAAGATCAAGTGGAAAAGCCAACAGATGGCCACTTCCAAAACGCCACCGTGTATTTCAGCTTGGAGCATGTGTGGACGTCTGAGGATAGAAATGTGGGGGCCAGTCAGCAGCACGTGCTTCTCACACCCCAGCCACAGCCGCCGACACCTGAGGGCACCTGCCGTCCAAAGTGGAAGCCATGTTCTTTCCGCGAGAGCATGTTCTGGTGCCTGCAGCAGCAGCAGCAGCAGCCAGGAAGGGCAAAGAAATGAGAAGCAGCTTTCTAGAAAGCTCCAAGTCCTCCCAGCCAGGTGCAGGCAGAAGGAATGGGAGGGCAAGAACAGAAGCTAATTTTAGCAGAGCCTCACCTCCATGAGAGAAGATAAGAAATCCAGACGCCAGGGAATGTCTCCCAAACCATCAAGGCCCGCGGATATTTTTCACAGAAAAACCCACCCAAGATCATGCAGCTTTTCATCCTCCTTTCTTTCTGCCATTTTGTTTACTTGATCACTTGCTTTGGAAACTCAAAGCTGTTTCCCCCAGGGCCTGCGAGGCTCCCTGGGGCTCCCACTGCTTTTAAAGCAAAGCATAGGCAGACTGCTGTGTCCTTCCCGGCTGCTGTTCTGTGCCACACACAGCCAGTGCCAAGGTCACCTCTGTACCCCCCTCATTCCGCTCTTACCCACACCTGACTATCTGATAATGACTGCGATTCACTGGGATGGCAAATTTTTATCCTGAGGCGCCACTGAGACCCAGCACATCCCTGAGGTGCAGCTGTCCCTGAGCTGCAGCTCCCTTCATGGTCTCAAAACTGAAAACATGGCCAACCCCGCCACTCATAGCTCCCTGGCTGGCTGGGGGTGTGTGGGAGGTGGCCAGCAGGCAGGTTCAGCACCCCTCTGTGCCCCGACTTCCATCCATGCCTAGACACGCGTGCACCCTAATTTGAGTAACTGCAGGCGGATGCCTCTGTTGTGGCTCTCAAGTGCTCAGTTCTGACAGCACCAGGTCAACGAAGACAAAGAACACATGACTTCTGTATCTTCTGTGAGCTTGTATGCTCCAAGCACAGGGTGGCATACATGGCTGCTTCTCATGGGTGCCCACATGGTACTCTGGCTCCACTCAGGGTGGAGCATACACCTCTGGCCGCTGCCACCATGGCAAGGTTTGGTTTCTCAGTGCCCCTTCAGCTCGCAGCAGTGCTGGGAACCCAGCCAGGAAACCAGATGGAAGGTCTGCAAGCGCAGTGAAGTTCCACCCAGGCTCCACGGCCAGCAGCCCCGCGGGGCAGGTGATACCTCTGGGCCCTCCACACCATCGGCTGTCGTAGGTGTCTTGGTGCCAAACTTGGTCTTGCTACCCTGTCTCTTTGGCTGCAGCAGCCTTGAGGAGAACCTAGACTGGCCCACACAGCGGTCTCCCTCTAGAATTCCCACTGGGAAACAACGCACAGGCCCCTGAAGCTTCCTTGAACGTGGTCCTCGCCCAGGGCTTCTGGCTGGAGCTGGAGTCAAAATCAGGGAGGGAGCATGGGTTCTGGCACCTCTCCATCTGTCCTTGCCTGGCCACCCTGGGCATTTTTACTGTCCCTCCACATGACCCTGTCCCTCGCCCCACCCCAGGGCCTCCAAGACAGTGGCCACAATGACCCTGACTTCCGGGATGGGCAAAGAAAACATGCCTACCTGTGCCTGCCTGCTTTTCAGCTGGCCTCCCCCCGAGTCCAACTGACAATATCACCATTTACCCCAGACCCACGCTACCCACTCTGCACTACCCTGTGAAGAAAATCATGATAACAGCTCTAAAAAAATCACAGACTTCAGAGAAGCAAAAAGCAGATGCATCTACAAGTCCACAGGAAATTCTACTCATTCCCCTTTGGAATGTGAGTGGACAGGACAGCAGAGAAATGACCACTTCCGCTTCTAGCCCTTCCCTCTTTGTCTCAGTTTTCCTGCTGTGAGCACCAGCTCCTGGGTGCCCTGCGACACACACAGCACTGGCCCTCCCCTGTCTGTGTGGCCCTCGTGTTTTTCTTGCTTGCAGAAATGGGAAAATCACCCCAGGCTGCCCAGTGGTCACAAGACACTGGTGCCCAGGGTACATGCTGCAGGAGCTATCCCAAGACCAAATCTAAAGCAAATGGGAATCTTCAAGCTGTGGTTCTGTACTAACCAAAGAAAGGATTTCAAATGTTTCCACCATAAAGAAATGATACAAGTTTGAGGAAACCGATTTGGTTACTATGATATGTGTGCCTCAAAATATCACCTGGCTGGGGCCAGCACTATGACATATTGAGTAAAGCCACTGCCTACTGTGCAGAAATCCCACATGGCTGCCAGTTCAAGTCCCAGCTGCTCCACTTCTGATCCTGCTCCCTACTACCACGACTAGAAAAGCCCAAGTGCTTGGCCCCTGCACCCACATGGGAGACCGAGATGAAGCTCCTGGCTCCTGGTTTTGAATCAGCCCAGCTCTGGCTGTTGTGGCCATTTGGAGAGTGAACCAACAGATGGTTCTGTGTGTATCTCTCTGTGTCTGTGACCCTGCCTTTCATGTAAATAAATAACAAAAAAAAAAGATAAAAATCCCATCATATATGTGGCACCCCACATGTATGTACATGTTTTATGGAACAGTTAAAAATAAAACAAAATTTAAAACAGAACAAAACATTTAACAATATAAAATAAATACTTCCTAAATATTGATGACAAAGTATTAAAGGACAAAGCAAGACATCAAATTTACAAACTATATTAGTGGGTTAATAATATAATCCAGAAAAGACTCAGTCCGATGACATCAGAATTTAAGAGTTGTTTTGAGAACACACAGCTCAAAGGCACATCTGGATCTGCCTATGTATCTGTGTGAGAACATGTGTACTATTTAAGGTAATGAGCTGGGTTTGAGAGATGAACACATTTTGTTTATGTATATATGAGTCATATATATATACATATACACACACATATATGACTCATTTATTTATTGGTACGGCAGAGTGACAGAGAGAGGAAGAGATACACAGAGAAAGACAGACATTTTCCATCTTCTGGTTCACAACTGCTGTCCAGCTCAGGTCAAAGCCAGGAGCCAGGAACTCCATTCGGGTCTCCCACAGAGGGAGCAGAGGCCTGAGTACTTGGGCCATCTCCCACTGCTTTCCTGGGGTGCTTTAGCAGGGGCTGCCAGGACTCAATGGTATTCCAATCTGGGATGCCAGCCTGGTAGCCCCATCTGCTGTCCCCGATGCTGGCTCCAAGCACTTGATTTTTGCTCCTCCCCTCTCATCCATTGATGTCATCATGGGAGCATGGAATTTCAGTTTGCTTTAAACTCTCAGCTAAGGTCCCAATCCACCAGGGACCTCAAGCCAGGGCACCCATGTAGGTATTAGGGGCCCAGTCACTCCTGCTGCCTCCCAGGGCCTGAATTAGCAGGAAACTGTAATTGAGAGTACAACTGAAACTCCAATCCAGGGGCTGTGATTGTGAGATGTGGGTTTGCCAAGCACCACGCACACTGCCTTCCCCACCGCCAACCTCCACCAAACTTTCTTAACTACTCTTGCACATCTCAGGATTGGGTAGTGTGCATCCTCAGGTCATTTCCTTGATGGCCTTCCAACACCCAGGCCCTCTCAGAATGGGGAAAAAGGCAGAAAACCACCCAAGGAACAGTCTTCTCTCTCGGGATCGCTGCTGGGCTAATCTGTCTGTGGACTGGGCTCGCATCTGTGGGCTCCAAACTGCCCTCAGGCCTAAAGCTCCAAGCCCACCAACTCCCAGGCCAGCGCCACCACCTCCAGTTGCCAAGGTGCCTTTTGTGTGTTCACCTGTCACTCAGATCAGGATGCCAAGTCCTCTGGCACACCCAGTGGGTCACCGTGTGAAATTATTCCATCTCTCTCATAAATAACGACTCCACCCTGTTCCTTCCAGCAAGCTGAAATCTCTCCTCTTCTGCAGTGGCTGCCTACCTGGCCTGTCAGCCTCCAGCCCCACTCCTCAAGGCTGCCAGGGAGATCTCTTTGAATCTTGAACCTTTGTCACTTGCATACTTAACACCTTCCAGGGGTTCCCTGTCATCCCGGGACAAGCTCCAAGTTCCTCAGAGAGGCAGACCCTTCCAGACTCCCTCCCAACATCCTTCCATTTCTGTAATGTCACAGAGTCATCCTGCGCCCTCCCACCTGATCCAACCTTTCAACCATTTTGCCTTCTGGTTTCCAAAGTCATCTGTCCTTGAGGTCCAGCCCACCACAAATTGGCACCTGTTCCTGGCTTAGCAGCTACTGCCTGCCTGCTCTTCAAGTCCTCAGGGGCCTGTGTCCTCCTTAGAGCTCTGGGTCTAGGTCCATCGCTCTCCACACCCCACCTCACTCACACGGCTGGCACAGGAACCACACTGTGATCCAAATACTTCCGTGAACTCCCTGGGAAGGAGGATCCTGTAGCTTGAGCAAAGGGCCTCGGGTGGCTGTATCATACCAGCCAGGCTCTGAGCCTCAGGCAGGGACACTAGATCCAACACAGCCCTGGCATGGGACTGACATGAATAAAGTGTCATTTAACAAAGTCATCTGGCAGAAACATGCAGGGGGAAGCACAGGGCAGCCTAACTCCACATAGACATGGCCCATGAGGTAGATAGGTACTATAGAAAGCTTGCATGCCCATTTGCTGTCGGAACACACATCTGCAGGTGTGGAGTGCCCGGTCACCAGCAGCTGAGCCCCCATGCTGCATCCTTCTGCATAAAACCCCACATGATATTTGTTCCTTTCTTCCTGCATGCTAGCAGGTGGCAGATTTAAGCATGACCTCCAAAAGATGGCTTTCAGCCCTGTTCCACATGTGCAGCGAGGAGACCCTACCTGGTCCTGTGCTCCTGCAATTAGGGCTCCCGCTCCGAGGACACATCGCCCTCCGCCCCACTACTGGCGCTGCGGTCTTCCTTTCGTGGCGTGTTTCTTTCTTTGCTCGATTCCGAGGGTCCCTTGGCTCTGGTCTTCTCTTTCCTCTGCTGCTGTTTTTCAAGCTTGGATAGCTGATACACACAAAGAAACAAAACCACAACACTTTACCCACAGGAACACGTGCTTGCATCTCATACACCTGTTCTGTCCCAGCCAAATCTGAACAGGTGCTTGGGTCTGTGAAGTCCGTGGGGCAGATTCCCACACGCCAAGTCGCACCCAGATGAGAGCAGACGGACACCTGTGGTATCACAACAGCCCTGCCACACATGCGCTGACTCTCAGATCTGTCCCTAGCCCAAATGCAAGATGGCTTGGGAGGGCTCTGCAAATTACCAGATGTCTGGTTTGTTATTGTATTTCTTCCAAAGCTTTTGCTCACCAGGATACTTTCCCACTTATAGTTTCTACCCAGTGTTCCAAACACCTGTAGCAGGCTCCATGGCAGTATCCACAGCTGCTGACCACAGGGGACTGGGCATGCTCCCTGTGGGGACACACCTGTGACGTCAGATGCCATTGGCACCTTCTTCCCCAGGGATCTCCCCAGCAGGTTCAAGGGAACCAAGGCTGAAGGTGCACAGCCGTGTGGAGAATTGGCGCCCTCAGCAGCCGCCCAGCCACCACAGACAGGCTGGTGGGAAAGCTAGCAATGTGGACTCAGCATGGTCTGGGCTGGCAGTGACACAGCCTAGGAGGCAGCCACTCCCAGTTGCACCTACCTCCCAGACCAAATCTGCACTCATTTTCCAGCTCATTTGAAAAGGAAGAAACTTGATGATGGGCTGGTTTCTTCCCCTTTGTCTTGGCCTCTAATGCCAGGTTGGAACCTGGAGGCTTCTCGGATCCTGGCAGCACCCACGTGACACAGAGGCACCGTTACCGGCATGCACAACTGGGTCAACAAGCCTTGACTTTCCACAGTAATGACACTGGCTCCTACCAGGAACCACACGTGGAAATCACATGTGCTAATTCTTCAAGCGACAGGCACAGCCCACATTTCTGCCAACAACGGGATGCTGGTTCTCCCACAGGATTTATCTTGAAGTATCCCAGCCACAAGCAGAGGCCCCCATGAGAACACTATAAACTAGCCTACCTAAGGCATCTAGGCCTTTTCTCGGAAAGCAGAAAATCCAAAGCAGTCAAAATGTGAAATTTACATCTCAAGGCAAGCGGACAGCTGCTTTTTTTTTTTAAGGAGATAAATAGAAGAAAAAATAAGTAATATACATGGGTTCATGTATAAGGGCAACATCTCTCAAACAGCAGGTACATGTCAAGGGGACCATAAGCAAAGCCCACATTCCCTGAAATGTGCTGATTTTGGTTTGTTTGTTCAGTTTTTACTTATTAGTCTTAAAAAGACAACAGCTCTTCTCTCTTAAAATATGTTTATTTGAAAGGGAGACAGTGACACAGAGACAGCGAGTGAGAAAGGCTTTACATCCACTGGTTCATTTCCTGGGCCAGGACTGAACCTGGGAACAGAAATTCAAGCCAGGTGTTCCTCGCAGGGTGGGGAAGGAGGAAGGAGCAGCGCGAAGGCTGCAGCTCTCGGGATGAGGAGCGGTACAAGGGTGCACAGACATCAGGGGTCAGGGCCAAGTTGAAGGACTCTGCTTTCCTGCTGGGGAGGGTGGGGGGTTGGGAGGGGGTGTGGATCACACTCCTTCCCGATTAAGCCACACTTGGGTAGGTCTGTGACAGCTGCAGCTGAGAGCCAAATCCCACAGAGCCTGCCGATCGACGAAGAAGGAAGACAGATGGGACGTTGAGCCAGGCCACAGGATCTCCTTCCTTCAGGCTTCACAGCCCATGGAGGTCTGGGGCAGGGCTAGCCCCCAGGCCTCCCAACCCCACACCAACCTTTTCCCAGGGAGCCACATGGCCTCTCTCCCCTCATCTGTCAAGCCTACCTCATTTACTGAGCCCTGGCTATATGTCACATCCCATGCTAGGTACCAGGGACGTGGCAGAGAAGCAAGCAGAGGCCCTGCCTTCCAGGGCTGTGTATCCAGACACATCACTGACAGATCCACTCTCCACGACAGGGGTTCAAATTCTTAACACAGAAGAGTCTGGGGTGACAAAACCACCACCCACCCTGCCAGGAAGTGGGCCAGCAAGGAACCAGGAAGGGGTCAATGACAGCAGTTGGTAGAAGTCATCACCACAGATCTGGAGACAGAGCAGATGACAAGGAGGTACAGCCAACAACATGCCAGGGCTCGCACAGCATAGCACCCAGAAGCACAGATGGCTGTGCAGGGAGGGGAAGGAAGCGAACAGCAGAGCAGTGACAGCTGAACAGTTAAACAGCCCTGCATTGCTCCAGGGGCAGGGGGTGTGCAGCCGGCCCAGCAGCAGGTGAGGACCTGCTCTTGGGGCCAGCAGTCCACTGGAAAGGGAAAAACAGAAGCCAGGACACAGCCTGGCACGACAGCATAGTGGTTAAGGTCCTTACCTTGAACGCGCCAGGATCCCATATGGGTGCTGGTTCTAATCCTGGCAGCCCCGCTTCCCATCCAGCTTCCTGCTTGTGGCCTGGGAAAGCAGTTGAGGATGGCCCAAATCTTTGGCACCCTGCACCCGCATGGGAGACCCGGAAGAGACTCCTGGCTTCAGACTGGCTCAGCTCCAGTCGTTGTGGCCACTTGGGGAGTGAACCACTGGACGGAAGATCTTCCTCTCTGTCTCTCCTCTCTGTATATCCACCTTTCCAATAAAAATAAATAAATCTTTAAAAAAAAAAAAAACAGAAGCCAGGACAGGCCATCTAATGTCCCCTATCTGTGCTGACTTCTCCATCAATGACAAACGATACAGACAGGTCCAAGAGGACATGCACATGGGTGCAGGTACAACCCCCCCAAGGGGGAAAGGATGGCCAGGGCCTGGAGGAGACGGTACACAGGTGCAGATAGATGACACCCCCCAAAGGGGAAAGGATGGCAAGGGCCAGGAGGAGACGGTGCACAGGTGCAGATGACACCCTCCCCAAGGGAAAAGGCAGCATATCAGCAGGGAATGGTTACCTGCCTGTTCTTGCACACACACACACACACACACACACACACACACACACACACACACACACACAGAGACACACACACACACACTACATCACTCCAAAGTACCATTAAAGACTCACAGCTTCACACCAAGAAACGACGGTGAAGAACAGGACATGAGTAACCCCAGTCTTCTGCAGACACTGACTGGCCCAAGGGACATCTCACTGAACACAGAGAGAGCTCAGCATTTCTTGTTCAGATGGACGCTGGACCCCGGCAGACCCCACTCAGTCTAGGAAAAGAGGGGTCAAGGGTAGCTGGCCTGCAGCCATAATGCCCACCTTGGCTGGAAGGACTGAGATGTGGCCAGTAGAAACTGTCAATGGCTGCAGTCCCATCACCAATCCCTCCCCGGGAATCTGCCAACCTATAAGATGGGTAAGCACTAATCCCAAGTTTGAAGAGGTTCTAGAAAACAGGCTCTTTTGTGAATCCTTTCAGAAATGTAGCAGGTACTCAACCATTGTGAAGGGAGGACCACTCTTAGGGGAAATGATGACAGTGGCAGACATTTGCCTCCATCATCATGTGGGAGTAACAACGAGGAAATTGGAGTGTTGATGGATGGATGCCCCATGATGCAAGTCCGACGGAAACAACTCCAGTCCTGTCTTGTGCCTTCTGTGAGCCTACCACTTAAATAATAGCACCTGTACCCTCTGTATATCACCTTGACATTTTCATCTAAGCTCTTTAAGGTTCATCTTCACACCTGGGAAGTAAATGAGCCCTTGGCTCCCAACAGCCAGTCTGTTCCCTTAGCATCTTGGAAAGGTAAGAGCAGACATTGTTACCCTCAGGTTGTGTGTGAGCACACTGAGGCCAGTGCCACCCCCAGGCAGCAGCCAGGTTGGGGAGGCCACCAGGTCCTGGGGCTCCTGGCCAAGGCTCCAGTAGCCCTGGCTTCTTCCAGAGCAAATGCTCACCTGTAGAGGGGCTTCTGGAAACTACCACAGGTCCAGCACAAAGGACCCTGTGCCCCTGCCTTTGGGCTAATTTCTTTACTTATCTTTTTATTGGAAAGATAGATTTACAGAGGGAAGGAGAGACAGGAAGACCTTTCATTCGCTGGTTCATGCCCCAAATGGCCATGATGGCCAGAGCTAAGCCTATCCAAAGGCAGGAGCCACGAGTTTCTTACAGATCATCACATCAGTACAGGGTCCCAAGGCTTCGGGCCGTCCTCTACTGTTTTCCCAGGCCACAGAACAGGGAGCTGGATCAGAAATGGAACAGCCGGGACACACATCACCCATATGGGATACCAGTGCTCAAAGGGGGAGGATTAGCCCAGTTGAGCCATTGCGTTTTGAGTTATTTTAATGTCAACTATTTCCTTCCAAATTTCTCTATCCTGCATATGAGCAAAATCTAATTAGGGAGGGAAGCAGCCAGCAGCAGAAAAGCTCCAGCACCATGAAGTCAACAACTGGGATTTTTACAGATATTCCAAGAAACTCTAATGGTACAGGTCGTAAAGCTGAAATGGCCCAATGTAGTTACATACACCACCACAAGGAATTATTCTTCAGGGGTGAGAGCCCACACCTGTGCCCCTGCCCCTGTGCACAGGGACACCTGGGCAGCCACAGGCTGCCACAAGAGGAAGGACATGCCCAGCCAGGCTCCTTGGGAATGCAGATATCCATCAAAGGCAGAAGCATGAAACATCCCAACTTAACCAGCCCAGTAGCTCATTTCAGCAGTTTGAGAAATTCCTCTCTAAGACACTTAACTTTCTTTTCTGAGTGCCTATCCCTCCTGTTCTGGGGACCACACCCTGACTATCCCATTATGTCATCTGACTTCCTCTGACCCTGGAGATAAGCCTGTGAGGTATTATTAGGTGGTGGATCTGTTGAGTAGTTAACTTCATAGCAGTATGTAGGGTGCTTCAGAAAGTTCATGGGAAACAGAATTGTTTATTTCCATTCAAAACAATTCTAAAATTCACAGTGTGCCTTTTTTGTGAACTTTGTAAAGACCTCTCG